TAATGTACTCGCATAGCTGTATCTGAGGGTTCAGTAAGTTCCTGAATACTGCTGGCAGAGTGGATCCTCCATAAGGCTCTTGACTTCCATAATGCCACAGCGACCCAAATCTTTACAAGGTGGCTTTTTGAAGTTCCTAAGGCCTGTTACATGCTTGGAGGGCATCTGTCTAGTGCAAAGGACTGCACAGTAGCGAGTAACTATGGCAAGCCCTGTTTTTGCTGTCAAGCTGTGGTTTGTCCTTGAGCAAGCTAGGCGTGGCTGGGTTCCTGTTGCAGTCCACGCAATAACCACTGGCTTTGGTGAACGCTTGCAGCCAGTCACACGAGCTGTGAGCTGGGGTAACTGATTTTCCCAGTTGACAACTGTTGGTAACAACCGTAACGGTACAGAAAGCATCGTGGAGATGGCCTTTTATGCTGAATCTGGAGGGGGTCCTGCTATTTGATAGTGACTTCTTTTTTCCTATCTAGTGCACACCAAAAGTGGACTTCCCCCAGGATCAACTGGAAAAGCTTACAGGGAGAATTCAAGAAGCTGGCACCGAAGTTGTCAAAGCTAAAGCAGGAGCAGGTTGGTTCTTGACTACAGCTTCCAAGTAATTCTTGTTGGCCAGCTGAATGGACACAGTCTTCTTCAGTTTAATCTTATTTAAAAATACAATGCAGAATTATGAACTGCTGATTACAAATCTAGATGCTCTGCCATGTCAGTGACTGCTTGAACTGTGGTATTAGAAGCAGCTCAGTATGTAGGCAAGGCTAAACATTAACTGATCCCATGCCATGTATGGCTTTAAGAAGAATCTTCTCTGTCAAATCAAGGTGTTCCTATAAATCTGGTCAACTAAATAGCACTTAGCTGGCCAAAAGCTGCTCCTTTATCCAGCTGGTGGTGCGCTTGAAGTCAATGACACTGCAGCTCTGTAAACATCAGTACGGGAGCCTTTGAGGCTAAAGAAAGTATCAAATTTCAGTGTGATCTGTTCTAAAAGTTATTTAACTTTTGCAGGATCTGCCACCTTGTCAATGGCTTATGCTGGTGCTCGATTTGTGTTCTCTCTGGTGGATGCAATGAATGGAAAGGAAGGGGTTATTGAATGTGCCTTTGTTCGATCAGAAGAGACGGAGAGCCCGTACTTCTCTACCCCTCTGCTCCTGGGAGTATGTACTTTAAATGATGAGGCTTGTAAACAGCAGCTACCGATTTCTGTGGTTTTCACTCAGTGATTTCAATTTAGTCTAATGCTGGGTATTGCTGAAGTTTAACAGCGGAGTGTAGCTTTAAGAGTGCTTGAATATTTGGGTATTCTACTTAGGCATTATACCTCATGCTTGACAGGGATGCTGTTGCTTTTATCTGCTCTTAGACTGCGGGTCGTGAGTAACCAGAGGTTCAGACTCGTCTTAAAAGGTCATGCTTGCCTCAAGTCAGTGCCTGTTTGCGAAGGGCTTTCATGTGATTAACTGGAGTCAGCAATCCTGTCTCCTCAGCTTGATCTGCTACAAGCAAATCCCTCAGAAATTGAGGCACATGGGAACGACGGCATGGATTAGGATGAATAGATTGCTTTCGGGACCTCTACTGAACTCTGAAAGAAGTGTTCCTTTTGTCACCATTAGCCTGTGGGTGGGGTGAAAAGCAAGGGTACTGCGGCCCTGTCGTGGCTGCTGGGATGCAGAGGATGGTGTGTGCTGTCTTGGGTGCTAGCTGGTGAGGGGCTGGAAGTAGACGGAGATTAAGGGGGAAGGGTTTGGATAGGCATGAGATCTCAAAAACCTAGGAGTGCGACTGCAGCAGTTTCAGATTGCAAGCCAGTGGCAAGCGAAGGGCATACACCAGAGGAGAGAAATTCTCTTGCCAAACGGTGGGTTTGAAGATAGGAAGAGACATGAAAGAGCAGTTGGTATTGGTCTCCTCTGGAAGGAGCTGATGGGCTGCCTTCAAGTTTCACACTTGTGAACAGTGAATGAGAAGTTTGTGAAGGCTGTAGAAGTCGCTACAGATGATAAGAGGCTCCTGAGCCTTGCCAGGAAGCACAGGGTTGGCAGACGAGAGATGACAGAGGTCCCTGGCTGGGTCTCCATCTCAGCTGGATAATACTTAATCAGAGCTGTTAAGTTACTCTCTAG